ATTTAAACCCTCGGATTTTTTGTTTCTTTTCTCTTTTTTAAATTTTTTATTGCGTATCGGTGTTTATCACCTCGCCTGATCATCTGTTTTCAGGACATCTGAAATGTCGGAGAAAAACCCTCATGTGAAGAGATCGGAGGTACTAGCCGAAGTCCAGCGTACCACTAAACCGCCTCAGATTGTTAACATAACACAGAACGGAAAAATATTGACTAAAATTCAAACTGTGGCAGAAGTAAAAGGCAACAGAACAGATCTGGAAAGTTCCATGGTAGTCGGTACGAGAAGGAACCGGACAGAAGCAACGCCCAAACCAGCAGACACGGGAACTCCAGCACCGCCCACAGTACCTCCAGACAAACGGAGTCCCACCTGGTTCCTACGTGACGACACCTACACACGATCGGTGATCCCTTTCTTCAACTTTATAAGATTAATGATGTGTGTGTGTGTGTAACTCTGTGTGTGTGTGTGTGTGTGTGTGTGTGTGTGTGTGTGTGTGTGTGTGTGTGTGTGTGTGTGTGTGTGTGTGAGCGTGTTGCATGGTAGATCTTGCTCTTGTTCTGTGTTCTGATACTGCGGGGACGTTCGTTGAAAAATCTTTTAAGGAGTATTATTGAACTCAAGAACCACATTGGGCAGCCAAGACATTGGTCATCTCCTGTGACAACGAATGGTATGAAACATTGACATTGAAGCTTCACTATTATCTGTTCCATACAGAAATGCCCTAGTGCAATACGTAAGAATCCAGACAAGGTTCCTAGTGGAAAGTTCATTCCCGACATCCCCGTCCTGATGTGGAGTGAGCACATCACCCCTGAGGAGTACGCCAGACTCTCGCAGTTCAAAATGAGCTACGGATGGGACGGCATGTCTTATGAAGGTAACTATTTTTAGTCAGTCAAATAGACGCCACGACATTAAACTGTTCAGGTAAGGCCACACCAAGTAAATTTTATGGATGACGTCCGCGCGCGCATTGATTTTGGCCTGTTCCTAGAAAAAAAAACAAGAAATTCCGCTTCCTGTAACTATGACCAAAGAGTCACGACAGTGCCGCAAATCGTCAGATTGACCTGAAACCCGTAACGCGAAATGGGCAAAGGGCACAAAAATGTGATGAAAGAAACAGGACAGGACGACAACTGCTGTTCCACCTGATTTATTGCTGTTTTGATGATGAATAAAAGACTTCTTGCTTGTTACACTGTGTCACCTCATTCAAGTTGTGTCCTAACATTTGTCGTCTCTTAGTATATTTCTAGTCCAGGCATCTTGTTTTTTAGGGCCCTTCTTTTTTTTTTCGCCCTCTCGCATTAGATTTAGGGTCTCCAAAGGACGTCATCCATAAAATTTACTTGGTGTGGCCTAACTTAAATTCACAGGAATAATCGTAACATTTAGTTCTCAATGGGTGATACAAAGTTTGTTTTAGTTGCCGTAGAATATACTAGTAAACAAGACTGACAGCAAATTAGCGAACTGTTTGGGAACTGCAGGGGCGTTTATGTCAAATCTTCGAGAAGTAGCTGGCGGATCATCGTGAGTTTTACCATGTGAGTAGCTTAAGTGATGCTTGTTATATCCATATGATATTTGTGGAAATCAGGATCTAATTTGCATAATTAATGGTGAATTCTGTGAACCTGACTATATATAATATATTCGTTTAACATAAATAATACAAATCATTTGTATAATTGATAGGCACATGCTGGAGTAGGTTTCTTTGTTAAGATAAGACTGTCATTGGACAAATGCTTTTAATTGGTTGGAGACAATGTACGCACATAGCGATCTTTCTGAATAACTAAAGAGACTTCAGTTTAATTGAATTTTCTGTTCTGTAACTGAAGATGTAAAGAACTGTCTCCGTCACTTGAACACATCTGCCCACCGCTACATGTTCCCCGGCTGGGCGCCTGACCATGCCGGCTGTATCCGGTGTGCTGTTGTCGGGAACGGGGGGATCCTGAGAGGGTCTGGTAAGGGGAAGGAGATAGACGGACATGACTTTGTCTGGAGGTGAGCACATTTTGTTTTCCTTATGTTTGCATATGATACGCGACTGTACGTATACAAACATTTACATAGTTACGTTCACCAGTTGCCCATCCCCAGAATGCAATGCGAAAATAGGGGGGTAACCCTCATTTGCATAGGACTTGAAGGCATCGGAATGTTGACGTTAAACAGCTTGCTTTTCACTGTGTTTTGAGGTGTTGGGGCATCTTATGCTCAACATTAATTAAATTACCATGGGTTGAATCTGAAAACAAATAGAGAATGAATTTTTTGGAATATGTGGTTTGTAACGTTATAGTGGTAACGCTATACTGATACTGTAATGTTACAACCATGTTCCATGTTGAAAAGAACACTAAAACTTCATTCTCTATTTGTTGTCAACAGGATCATTCCGATGCCTTCCAGTCCTATGCAAATGAGGGTTACCCCCCTATTTTCGCATTGCATTCTGGGGATGGGAAACTGTTGAATACATACTTGGCTCAGTAGATCTCAGTAGACTGCATAGCAAATATATTATCTGATCGAGCTCAATACAAGATTAAATTCGCCACGTGTCATATTTTGCCGTGCATGTACTCATGGTAACCTCCTGTCATTGGCACATTAGAGTGAACGCCGCCATTACTGAGGGATTCGAAGAGGATGTTGGGAAAAGAACATCCTTTTACTTCCATAGTGTCAACAGCATGAAGAAATCGGCGGCACATTCAAGACTAAGTGGCTTCCGCGACCGCCTACCACCACAGAGCAAGGTGGTGATTGGTTTAATCTATTGCACAGCTGTTTTTATTGTTTTATCTAAAATTGCTGTCCCGTTGACTCAATATTTAATCGTTAATCCACCCCAGGCAAGGAATAGCCGCAAATGGCTTTTATCTCTTAGATAATTCTCTATTTGCACAACCATATGCCGGAGGCTAATTGCTTGTACAGGGTCAGAGAGGTAAAGTAAAGCAATAGAGAACATACAGCCACTGTCTGATTAACTTATAAAATACTAGGTAGTGAGGTTTGCTTCCTTCTTTAAATGAATGAATGGATGAACTTTATTGCTTGACAATCGTACATGGTACAATGTGTGGCAGTAATAC